CACCCAGTAGGGACGAGATTACCGAGACCCTGAGAACAGGCAGAAGAGGGGAAAGTCTGCCAGGGCCTCTGATGGAAGCTGACTCTGCCCGCCCCTGCTCATCCCTTTCCCATGATTTTCTCTGGGAGGTGAGAAAAGTTGAAAATGCAGCGACTCCCGTGACAACCAGCAGAGTCAACTCCAAATCCAAACATAAGCCCTGCTTGCAAGTCAGAGCTCAGCCCTAAGTACTTCTCAGGTCTACCCAGCCTCCAGCCATTGTTCTTCCCCAGCCTGAGAAATCCAAACATTTACCATTTCTTCAGGCAGATGGGGTTGCTCTGCTGTAATCTCTGCTTAGTCTATTGGCATTTCTCTTGCACGCTTTTCCTTTAATGCCATGCTTCCTAGAGATCTCACCAACATACACACACATGCACTTTATCAGCCCAGGTGCCAACATGTTGATAACTCACTCCTTGCCAACCTGCCCACCTGTGGATCACAGTCTTGTCTCCTCTCCTCTGGCCACAAAAGCAGGCACCTTGGTCTTCCTCTCTCAGATCAAGCACCACCACCGCCCTAGCCCTTGTCTGGCACATAAGAGAATGCTCTGGTAACATAGCCTATTTTTGTTCCATTCTTTCCCTTCTTCCTTCCTAATGACAGATGTGCCACAACCACATGATTCTCTTATAAATCCTCTGCCATTGTCTACCAGTCTGGGTTCCATTGTTTGACTCGCTGGACAGCATCAGAGCTGGCAGCTATTGCCCCAGGGCTGTGAGCTTTGCGTTGCTCAACTGTAGCTACCCACTTCTAGCCAGGGCACAGAGGGGCATCCAGAAATCTGGTTACTTTCTGCTCCTCCTCTTCCCCTGTATTTAACCATATTATCCCCAAGTCACGAGAGACACAAATTTCCCATCCTCTCTGCATGCCTCTGGGCCTCAGGCTGTATACCCTGGGCCGGATCATCAGCTGGTGTAAATCAACACAGCTCCATTGACTTCAAAGGCGCTATCCCATTTTACACCTGCGAAGGATCTAGCCCCATCTGCCTTCTAGAGACTGGCAGTGCTTCCCTGAATAAGGCAGGTCTCCTGGGCCGCTAGACTCTGCGCCCTCCTTCGCCTTTTGATTAAATAAACTTGTGATGCTGGTAGGGGTGGGGGAAAGATGCCACTATAAACAAGTACGTACAGTTCACACGCTGCCCTCTATGCTAAGCCAGCTTCAGCCCACAAAGGTGCCCTGCCAAACTTGAGTGCGCTGGCAAGACAGGTTGCCAGAGCTGTTAGACTTCACACAGCCCTCCTGGGAATCAGCAAAGCCACCATGTTATGTAATCACAGGCAGGAAAGACGGCTTTTTGCCAGCCAAAAATGAGAGCAACGTGAAAAGAATGTGTTCTGGAACAGTGCTATTGTGGAGAGTGTACATGATGATGATGTTCGTCCCTCGTTATTGATGAAGCCCTCAACAACTCATTCTTTCGATGACCAGGCTCTGTGCATCCGAAGATGACTGATCAGTCCGATTCGGGCGTGGAACGTCCTGTCACACGTCGGGCAGACATGTAATGGCACTGTCGATGATGTACAAGCAGCTCTGGACTTGCGCAGCTCACACTTTTTTTCAGCCTCAGCAATACGCCTCGCCTCAGAGGTATTACTGCCTGTGTGAACAAGGCTGTGCCATGCTGAACGGTTCAGTGCGAAGGTTTCCCATGTGGCGGTGTTGATCTCAAGGGACTTCAAAGAGGTCTTCAGCGTG